TTGTGGCCTTATTTATTGAAATATGTTGTGTTTTCATCAACAGACCAACTTTATTTAATGAAAGTAACATTAAAGTTTTCAGCCACACCATCAGAAACGGCAATAAAGAAAGCTATTGCAGAGGTGAGTCTGTCTTTTGCTTGAGTTTTTGGGTAATTGTAACTAACTGTTAGCCCAAATTTAAGTATGTTAATAATCATTACTAACATTGTGAATGTTGATTTTGTGAATGGGATTTTTTTTTGTCACCAGCTCTTCAAACGTGTGCCATCGGGGCTTCCTGTAAATGTTCGTTCTGTTAACCCCCAGAAATCAGTGAAGGGAAATGAATGATGGAATTCAGAAGAAAGATTTCTGCATGAAGTTTTCTTTTAAGATACTGTATAACATTTTCATTTATTCAAAATAGTTTTATCAAAATTTGTTTGGTAAAATTTATTCATTTATTTTTCTCTAATCAAGTTGTTGATTTCTCAGCTTTTTGCCTAGATAGTTAAAGTGTGTAGAGTTTTGGTTTACAAAGGAGTTAATAAAGTTTTATAGTGCTGTGTTGGTGTTTTTATTTTTCTTATAAGTACAAGTAAAAAGTAGCATTCCTTGGCGGACTTCATATTGCTCATTACATTGTATGTTGAAGTTTTACACAAGATCTCACATGAGGTTAACACTCGAAATGTGAATTAGGGATGACTACCAGCTCCTATCACACTAAATTTGTGGTCCGTACCTGAAAACTGAATGAGTAATAGCCAATATTTTTGTGTTTCCTAATGTCTGTTTGCAGTGATTACTTTTCAGTACGTTTCAATAAAGGTTGGCATCTAGGTCACAAATATTTTGCAGACAAATGGACACTGGTAATTACATTATCTCTCACCTTTTATGATGGTGGGTAATAAAATTTCCAAGGTTTTAAAAAATAAAAAAATAATCAGTTTTGTAGCTTGTGAATTCTTATTTGTCTTAAGCTTTTATGTATTGGTGTGACTTTAGCCATCTACATTTATTGGAAAATATACTCCTTTGTGTTGACTAATCTGATCTATGTAATGAATTTCAATTTTTGTAAATTGTTTGGTTTAGTTTGACTATTGCTGTGTCTAAAAATTAGCACCTGTTTACAAAAACTAGTGTTTCTTTGTGTTTAAAATGTCCAACTACGCTGTGTTTAAAGAGGATTATCACTAAAAATCAATGATGATAAATGGTCTAAACTTGAACCATGTCCTGTGTCATACTTTGGCTATTGATGTCAAACCAAAAGGGTTTGTCTTGTGTGATATGCTAAATTATAACCAATATCTTTACCAACCTTGTGATACCAATCTTTATTAATCCTCCTCTTTCTTTACTGTTCTTAATCTACAAAAAACCTTGCCATAAGTTAAAGTACCTGTAAACATAAGTGTTTGATAACATCTAAACCGACTTTACTGTTGTTCTATCTGAGTGTCACACTTTCATTAATTACTTTGGACGCAAAGTGGTTTTTGCTAATGTTTAACTCATAAAGTTCTGATTATTACCTTTAATTTGTATATAGTTCATTTTGTTCTGTAAATAAATATCATTTATTTTAGAAAATTGAACTGGCTGAAGAGACATTCTTTTGTGTGTGTTTTCTCACTTTCATCACAGAGATATTTTATCTTCCTAGAAAATAATCTGTTTTTCCTCATTGTATATGCGAAGGTGTGGAGAGACCCTGGGTGTCTCCTACATACTACAATGTAGCCCAGTGGTTCCCAAACTTTTCAGCTTTTGACCCTCAAAATACCAGCAGCAGAGACCTGAGCCCCCAACTGTTGTTGGATCATAAACATTGTTTTCATGTCAAAAATAAAAATAAATAAGAGCATAGTAACAATGTTAATTATGCTGTTTTTGTCCATTTTAAGTACACTAACCTTACTCTTTTGTAACAACAAAGGCAAAAAAAATGTTAGTTGCTATTTTCTAATATATTTCATTCAGAATTTTTTTTCAGGACCCCACCCTGATGTTTTGGGACCCCATTGTTGATCCTGACCCCAATTTTGGGGACCACTGATGTAGCCTATGTAAAAGTACCCATTTACAATTTTAAAAAGCATGAAGAAAACAGTTTTTTAAATTATTTTTCTGTTTCAAATTTTTTCTTTCAGTTTAAAATTAAAAAAAAATTATGGCCGTAATTTAGCTCCACAGTTGTCTGTAAATGGCAGCAAATATGAATGCAGTTGACCACAAATTATTTACAACCTGGGTAGAAATACACAACAACAACAGCAACATTTTGAAAATGTTGAAACAAACTTGAGTTTCATCTTTGTTGCTCGAGCTGATACTGTACAGTTAGGACACTGGTGTATAAAAGAAAAGCAAGAAAAACAGCAAATGCTTTACAAAACAAATTAGTTTCTGTACTTGATCCAGATTTACTCCTCCCATCATAGAACAACATGCAAAAAAAAAGGTCCCACAGGGAGTGGCAACAAGTACACGGGGAGGACTTTGGCTTCACAAGCACAATGCCAGTATTTGCCTTCTCTCCTGTCGAGGTCATCTTTCACATTCAGGGACGAGGTAGGAGCAAAACTAAATAAAAGCTTACTGTGTTTCAGCCTTTTAACAGAGCAAAATGCCTGAAAGGTGGAATGTTAGTTTGCTTTGTCTTGTGCTACGCTGAAAGTAATGTAGAGGGACTGAACATGTAAAGTATTTCACACTGAAGTATATCACTTATTTTGGGATCAACATTTTCTAGACTTTCTATTACCCTGGAGGGAAAAGAGGAAGCGTGTTTGTGATTCAGTTTATAAGATTTTTCTCAGTTTATGTTTCAATTTAAACCGAAAGAGGAAAATCTGGGTCAGGTAACACGTCAGGTGGACTTTGTTCAGAAAGGATCTTTGAATTGTTTCTAGCTAATGATCCATAGGTCTAGACCAGTGGTTCCGCAGCTTTTCAGCTTTTTACCTACAAATTAACAGTGGCAAAGAACTGTTCCCCCAATTATTTTTGGTTGATATACAAGGGCATGGTAATAATATTAATTGTACTACTTATATATGTTGTAGGTACACTACACTCTTTTGTAACAACTAAGGCTAAAACAACTGTTAAAAGTCATATTTAAATGGGATTAATTCTAAAAAAAAGTATTTTCAAGTCTCTACCTTAATGTTTCTGGAGCCAACTGTGAATCCTAATGTATAAAAAGAGTTTATATGTGAGAAAAAACTCCTGGTTGTTCTGGGCCATTAGATGTTTATGCATTCTTGAAGAAGAATAATACAAAAGCTGAGAACGGATGTTTTACGCATATAATTCTTCCAACGGTTTTCTCAAGTTAATTAAGTCATTATCATAAAATAACAATGCCCGTTATCTCAAATTGACGAGATAATTACCTGTTTTTGAAAGATCATGATCAACGTTCTTAAAACCTTGCCATGAAGGAACTCAAGTTGAAAATGTCAGATGGTGGAGAGCCTGCATTGAACAACACATTGATCACAGACCGTGTTATCTCAAGAAAACCATTAGTAAATTATCTCGTTAGCTTAAGAAAACTCATCGTAATTTTGTGACAATATGACGATATGATAAATATGTTATCTTTTCCATAGATAACTTGTTTATACATGGGAGGATCGTAAACATACGCTCTCGTCTTCCAAAGAATAGAACGGTAGCCTACGGTAATTAAAATTTTGAAAAGTATATTGTGCATTTATATTCAGCCCCCTTCACTCTTTTACCTCTATTATCCAGTTCGTCCAGCTGCCTTCAGAAGCCAGATAATTAATAAATGAAGTTCACCTGCGGTTTAATTTATTCACAGTATAAATCCAGGCGGTTCTTATGAAGGACTCAAAGGTTGGTTACAAAATGTTAGTGAGAAAACGGCATCATGGAGACCAAGAAACACATCAGACAAGTCAGGGATGAGAGTTAGGTTGGTAAACAATTTTCCAAGCTCTGAACATCTCACGCTGTTCAATTAGAAAATGAAAAGAGAATAGAATAACTGCAAACTTACCAACACATGGTCATCCACCTAACCTGAAAGGCCAGGCAAGGAGACCACTGGTCCAGGAAGCCCCTAACTCTGGAGAAGCTGTAGAGATCCACAGCAAAGCTTGTTCAAATAGACCAGATTCCAGACCTAAACCCAACTGAGTTCCTTCAAAAATTCTGTTCATGGGTGCTCTTCATCCAGTCTGAGCTTGATATTTTACAAAGAAAAGCAGGCGAAAATATCTAAATGCAAACTTGATAAGAGTCACACCCATGAGACTTGCATCAGAAATGTTATCCTACAATGTTAACTCAGCTGGCTTGCCGTCCTTCCACGTTAATGCACTACTTTGTGTTGGTATATCACATACTGTACAGTAAACCCTTAGTAAAATACTTTTAAGTGTGCGGTTGTAACTTGACAAAAAGTGGAAACGTTCACACTGATGTTCCTCTTTTAGCTCAGAGGTCATGGCTTCCAACAGCCTCCTTCTGTCAGAGGTGCAGTTCCAGTGCTACATCTGTCAGGATATTTTCTCCGAGCCGGTCTCCATCCCCTGCGGACACAGCTTCTGCTTCACTTGCATCACAACCCACTGGGAGGACAGCTTCACCATCAGTTGCCCCAAATGTCATAGGGTGTATAAGGTTCGCCCCGAGCTGTGCGAAAACTCCTTCGCCAAAGAAATCTCCGAGCAGATCCGAGCCAGACGGCAGAACGGCGTGACGGGCAGGCCCGTCCGTTGTGACGTGTGCGTGGGGCAGCACAGTAGGGCTTTGAAGTCCTGCCTCGTGTGTCTGACCTCCTTCTGCGGGACCCACCTGGAGCCACACCTGAGAGTCGCCACCTTGAAGATTCACAAGCTGATCGAGCCCGTGGCCATGCTGGAGAACAGGATGTGCAAGCAACACCAGAGGCTCCTGGAGCTGTTCTGCAGAGCCGACCAGAGGTGTGTCTGTGTGCTGTGCACCGAAACCGACCACTGGGCCCACGACACCGTCCCGGTGGAACGAGAGAGCCACGAGAAGAAGGTGAGCTCCAAAACTCCTGGTGGTCCTCAAGCTGTTGTTCAAAGACATAACATTATTTTTTTATTCTTTCTCCTCAGGCTCAGATGAAAAGGATCGAGGCTGAAGTTCAGCAGATGATCCACGATAGAGAGATGAAGGTGGAGGAGATCAAACTCAATGTGGAGCTTAGCAAAGTGAGTCGAGCTTAGAACACTTTAAACTGAAGCTGTGAGAGAACTGAGACACAGAAACTGCATTTAAATCATTCAGTGTTTCTATTATGTTTTTAAACCAGATATATTACAATGCAGCCCTTATTTGTGGCTGCATGACCTGGAGGCACCTGTTCTCCTATGTTCTCCTATGTTTGTTTTGTACTGTCTTCTTGTGAATGGGTGTTCTGAACTGTAATTTCATTGTGCTCTGTACAATGACAATAAAGGTCTACCTTATCTTAAAAGGACTTTGGTTTAATATCATCCCCAAAGGTTGGTAAAACCCATAAAAAAATCAGTTAAAACTTTCCACTCGATTAAGATTATTCTGGTATGACTTTTGACATCGACTTGTTTTGAGCTCAAAATTTTCTCCTCAAATCTGGAAGTGACATATTTTTAGTTTATATATTCTACATAAACATGGTAGACTGTCTGATACTTACTTTCTAATATGCATTTCTCCTTCTAAAGGCCCTGTCATTTTTGACAACTTTTGCCAACTTATTATTTTTTTATGTCTAAGGGCCACTGACAAAAAAATAGAGTTCTGACTATTAGCTCAGAAGTATGAGAAAAACGAATTTCAACATCAAAGTCAGAATTCCGTCTTTTTCCTAAATGAGAGAGAAAAACAGTCAGAATTTTGACTTTTCTCAGAATTCTAACTTTAATCTCAGAAAAAAATCAAAATTCCAGGATCGAAGTCATAATTCTGACTTTTCTTAGAATTAGGAAAAAGTCAGAATTCTGACTTACTTTCTCATATTTCTGAGATCAAAGTCAGAATTTTTTTTAGTTGTCCTAATCCTCGTTCTTAGTATTCACACAAGACACATCAAAACCTTAGCTTTTGTCTTTTTAGAATTTTGTAAAAGTAAGACACAAAACACCAGATGAAAGTTAATTTCCCCCAGATGTTTTATTTATTCTGTGAAAGCTGTGGAATCTAAATGTTAAATAATAAAGCCACTGACACTTTTAGGTCAGGGAGATCCCGTCTTTTACTAATAAAGTAACGTTTCCAATATTTTGACCTGCTTTAATTATGTATTTTTGTTCATTACTTACAGGAGAACTCGGCGCAGGACATAGAAAAAAGCGCAGAGGTGTTCTCAGCTCTGCTCCGCAGCATAGAGAGGGTCCGAGCTGAGCTGGTGGGGATGATCCGGAGGAAGCAGGCGGCAGCGGAGCAGAGAGCGGAGCGGCTCATCGAAGAGCTGGAGCTGGAAATCGCCGAGCTGCAGAGGAGGAGATGTGAGCTGCAGCAGCTTGGTCACACAGAGGACCACCTGCATGTTGTACAGGTTAGACGCTTACTGAGGATGAACTGTTGAGTTCATTTCAGTTTTAATCTAACCTGTCGTTGGATTTTAAATCTTGTTTCTTCTCTTTGACTTCTGGATGTCAGAGGTTTCCAGCTGTGAGCTCTCCTCCGTCTGTTAAAGCCTGCTCAGACGTCTTCGTCCATTCAGACACGTGTTTGGGGGCTTTAAGGAGAGCGGTGGCCGACATTCGAGAGCTGCTTCAATCAGAGACGAAAAATTTGTCCATTCGAGGTCAGCCTTTTAAAAATATATATTTTGGTATAATCACTAAATTAATTTTTTTTAAAAAGCTACTTTTTTATGATGTTTTGATCGATACGGTTTGTGTCAATTCAACTGTTTTTAACCTTCCAGAGCATGAAAAGATCCAGCAGTATGCAGGTACAACTACACAGTTTTATACATATTACCTCTTTTTTATTTAACCTTATTCTTTTTATCAATTATATTTCAATAAATTATTTTTAACTCTTTATAAAACTGTAACAATACTAAATGAATAAAAATATTAAATTTGCTCAAAGTTAGGATTTATTGCTAACTGGGAAATTTAAAAGTACCGTTTTAGTCCAAAGAAAAGATTCAGAATGTTTCAGAAATGAAAGAAAACCACAAATTAACAAACGTTTACTGTTTGCCAAGATGATGTTCGTCTGGACCCCAGGACAGCCAACCCCTGGCTCTTCCTGTCAGAAGACGGGAGGCAGGTACGGGACGGAGACGTTGAACAAAGAGTGGAGGATGTCCCGGAGCGTTTTGACAAAGCTCCGTGTGTCCTCGCTCTCACTGTAAGAAATCCTCCCTTTCTTTCTGTCGCTTCGTTTCGTTTTCCTCTTTGAGGACAGAAATGACCCCGGTGACCTTCGCAGGGTTTCACCACCGGCAGACACTACTGGGAGGTGCACGTTGGAGACAAGACGGCGTGGGACGTGGGTGTGGCTCGGGAGTCCGTCAGCAGGAAAGGTTTGGTCACGCTGAGCCCAGAGGACGGTTACTGGGCCGTCTGTTTGAGGAAGGGCGTGGAGTACCGGGCGTGCGCGGGCCAGGCCGAGCTGCTGTGTCTGCCGCAGAGGCCGCAGGTGGTCGGAGTGTTCCTGGACTACGAGGACGGGACCGTGTCCTTTTACGACGCAGAGGCCAAGTCCCACATCTACTCGTTTACAGAGTTCAGCTTCACGGACGCCGTGTTTCCCTTTTTCAATCCGGACATGAACGAAAATGGTAACAAATCACCGCTGACTGTCCGCCCGTTCAACGACGTCTACAGAGGCAGGGATTTAGATGACATCACTATATGATGCTAAAAAACAAAACGACAAAATGTTTCAACAACAAAAAAAGGTGTTTGGTATTATTGATGCATCAGGACACTACGTGGCACATTATCCTATGACCGTTTATTTATTTATCACTAGTATTATAATCTCAAAGTCTTACATGTTAATGGCTTGTTTTATTCTGAAAACAATTATTCTATAATGCAATAAATTATTTTTGTTGCATTAAGTTTTTGTGGCTGAGCTTCACAGTCATTTTATGTTTTGTAGAAAAACAAAAGTCTCTTATTTGTCTCTTTGTGGTGAGATCTATGGAGGACCGAAACTGACATAATTAGAAATAAAAGCAGAAATATACATAAGGAACAATAAATAAATGCACCAGTTACATTTTTCCAGCCTAGTTCCTACAAATTATATATTTAAGCAAATATTTAAATTTTACAAATACTTTATATATTTTAGTTGGTGACTAATGACTAATGACTATATAAAAGGCCTGTAGTGAAGGTAGTTTTCATTCATTAAGCTGACTTTATCTTTGATTTTTTTAGGATTAAACATGAAACATGAAACGACAAGAAATATTTTGTTCAGATTTAACCCCACATGTAGATTTGCACACTTTATAAGGCCACAAAAACTCATATTTTATCAATTTATGAAATGTCCCATGAGCCTTTGCTACTTGAGCGTATGGCAGACTTTCTCCAAGTGCACAAACTAAAACAAAAGAGGGCCATTGCACAGCTTAATAGTTAAAAATAAGGGACTTTACTTTAAAAAGTACTTGTATTTCATGTATTATATTATTGTATTTGGCCCGCTGCCCTGGATAGATTTTCATTTTGGCCCCCTCGGGGAAAATGTTTGGGCACCCCTGGCTTAAAGGCTTCACCACATGTGAGAAGTTCACAGCTCCAGGTGCTGATAGGCTGCCTCCCTCTGCTGGTGGATTTCCAGAGAAGGCCTTCGAGGATTACCTGTCCAAAGGTGATTGGCTGGAGCACACCTTGGACAGCATTGCCCACTCACCAGCAGCTGCCGATGAGGAAGCCAGACCACATGAAGCTTATAAAAGTCAGCTCAACCTTTCAGTCAGGGCTGCTGTGCTTTAGGTGCAGTACGCCACGGGTTGACTAGACTGTCTTTGTTGGGGACAGTTGGTTGTGGCTGTTTAGAACTTTTGGTAGTCAAGACTACATTGTTTTGTGAAACTCTATTTCTGGTTTGAGCCAGTAGTTTTGGTTTATTCATTTTGTTATTATAGATTTTGTGTTTTGTTTTCTAATAGGCCTTTCTATTTGGGATTTTGCCCCATAGACTTTTATTAGTCTGTTTACTTTTTTGTACAACAGTTTTGCTGTATTTCATTTCATTTTGAAGAAAACCTCCTGCCTTAAGTTGTATTTTATTTTTAGTGCTTTGCGCTTTAACTGTAAATATAAATCGTAAATTACCCTTTTTTTATACTAAATTTTTGGTCTTGTCATTTATGTTGCATCTATCATGAGCCGGGACGTAACAGACCTTTTTGTATATTTTTTCTTTTATTTCTTATTCCGTCAGTTTCAGTCCTTCAGAGATCTGCATCACTCCACCAGCTACAACACAAAAATATTTGTATGTTGAAGAGAAGAAAAGGAAGTAGCATAACATGTCATATTCAACGTTGATTCTAAAAAAAATAATTAAAAACTGACAATTTTATTATATAGTGAGGCAAAAAAAACAAGAAAATGTTGTGATTTCTTTAAAAAAAATTGTGTAAATATACAAAAAATAAGATATGAATCAAGAGGAACAACCAGAATTATCACTGGTTGTGAAAAACAAACAATGGAAATATAATTAGACATTTATTGCACAAATTCTGGCAGATATTGGGCAATAACAAAGGTAACAAACAGAACAAATTACTGATGAATATTACACATTAATGAAGTTAATATATTGCAGAGTTTACTATAAATAAAAACTTGTATTTTCCTGTTTTTTTCTGATGTTTTTTTATTTAGCATGAATACTCCTTGTTTTGAATTCCCTGTTCAGCAG